TGTGTCCGTTAAGGCTGATTCTCATATTCTTGTCGGCGACTCTTGCTGGGTTCTTCGTCCTCCAGAAGCTCAACTCTACCTCCGACGACCCTCTCGACCTCGACGACTCTCTCACCGACGCTGATCCCGCCGATTCCGACACCAACTCCAGATTCTCCAAGGTTCCTTTTTTTCCTTTTTCCTTCGATCTTCATTCTCTTTGGGTTTAATGGGTTTTTGTGATTTTCTGGGCTCAGGTGGGAAATGCAATGAAGTCTGGATTCTGGACATGCGTTGACATGGCAAGTGGTCGCTATCTCTGGAACCATCTCTCTCCCAATTCCAAACGCTCTTCTTGAGTTTTTCTTACTACTCTCTCTTACCATTGTCTGTAATTGTCTAATTGTTGCAATGGACGACATCAAATCGCATGTTTGTGTCTGTATGCTATGTTATAGATCTTGTCTTCGCCACTAAATCTCAATAAAGTATAAGCCTTTTTCCCAGTTTCTATCACTATTAATAGCTGAATTCCCTTGGTGAATCGAGTGGATGATGCTTACTAAAACTTGGTTCCACTCTGTTATCATTTAAGAGCAAGCAATAGAACAAGTTATATTGAGTTCTGCAAACGACATTATTCTGCAGGATTTCCTTTTCCTTTTTTTCACAAATGAAATGTAAGAAACTCATATACGTTTAACATGAGTGCTAAACAAAATTCAAAATTTGCCACAATACAAGTTCCAAAAACTATAATGGTTCTTCCTGTTGTTCTGTGTCTTGCTGTGAATCAGGCTGTGGTGGTGACTGTTCATCTTTCTCGCCTTGCCAAACCCAAACAATATCTGCAAGAGCAGGTCTAAGATCCTCTTCCACTAATTTCTGATACTCCAGAGTATCTCCATTAGATTTCTTCACTTCCACTAGATGAAACGTCGGCGTCACTTGGAAGATTTCTGCATCCATAGATAGAATTCCTTTTCTTCCTTCTTTTAAACGTTCCAGTTTGAATAAACCTGCTTCTCGCTTTCTTATGTTCAGTTTCAATCGTTGTGCCACCTCTTCCAGCTTAGATATGATCACTGAAGCAGGTTTCTGAGATGTGAATCTAGATTCTCGCTTGTCGTACACATCTCCAAACAGTCCTGCTAGATCAAACCCAGTAGACAAGGCAATTATATCAAAAGCGTTTATGTTTGTAGGCTGGTCTGTATGGTTTTCCTCAGTGACAATGTCTCCATTCTCACTTGGACCTGCGGCACCAGCTTCCACGGAGTTCATTTCTTTGATTCGTTTCTCCATCTTTTTCTGTTTCATGTGTAAACCTTTTCTGAACCAAGAACTCTCCCTGATTTTTGCGATTGTGATTCTAGTTTCAGGGTTGGGGTCCAGCATCTTACACAACAGCCTCCGTACTTCCGGAGCAAACCAGCTTGGAGTCTTAAACTCTGCTTTTCCTATCTTCCTGTACATCTCCATCAGATTGGAGTCATGAAAAGGTAGGTACCCAGCCAATAGAACAAACAAAACCACCCCACAAGACCAAATATCTGCTTTTATGCCATCATAGCCTTTTCGATTAATCACTTCGGGAGCAACATACGCAGGCGTACCACAAGTAGTGTGGAGGAGACCATCTTGACGTTTACAGTCAGCAAGGGCACTTAACCCGAAATCAGATACCTTGAGATTCTCATTGTCATCCAGCAATAGATTCTCAGGCTTTATGTCGCGATGATACACTTGCCTGCTGTGGCAAAAATCAACCGCGTTGATAAGCTGATAAAAATACTTCCAAGCAACATCATCTCTCAGCTTCCCTTTAGCCACCTTGTTGAAGAGTTCTCCACCTTTACAATACTCCATAATAAAGTAGATCCTTGTTTTTGTTGCCATGACCTCGTATAGCTCGACTACGTTAGGGTGTTTAGCAATCCTCATAACAGATATCTCTCGTTTGATCTGCTCCATAAGCCCAACTTTCATAACTTTTTCCTTGTCAATCATCTTGATAGCAACACTCTGGTTAGTATCAACACTCCTTCCATAATACACCTTGGCAAAAGTACCTTGACCCAACAACCTCCCAACATCATATTTATCGGTCAAGACACTCGGCTTATTTTCCATCTATTCTACAAAGCATGCAGCAAAGCAAAAAAAAAAAAACACACACTAGTTGTTCCAGCTATAGCTCAGAGTTTGTCCTAGCTCATGAGTCATGACCTCATGAGCTCTTGCAACTAATGTCCTAGTGAGAGGACACATCTTCCAACATTGCTGAGTTTGTTTCGAAGCAAAGGAGAGAGCCCAGACCTCTCAAAAACTTGGTCGAAATCTAAGCCTGCGAAGTAAAATAAACAAAAGCAAATAAGATCACACTTCTGCAACAATCATTGTACAAAAACGTTGATCACAGAAATGGGAAATTTCACATTTTTTCTAGATAATTACTGCCCTGTTTCGACAAATCAACAATTATACGGAAGAAGAATAGAATGCGAGAGATAAATCATCATCGATCACTAGTTCTAAATCCGCATATAACCAAAAACACACAAAATCTCTCTCAACTCAAAAGCCCTATAACCAAAACTGATCATTCCAGTAATCTCTCTCTATTAGCGCATTTCCACTATCATAACAACGCAAACATAGATCGAATCTCCGGAATTAGAAAAACAAAAAATATGTAATCGACAATACCAAACAAAATTGAAAATATATATATATAAGAAAATCACCGGAGACAAAGGGGGATTCCGGGAATGATACCGAGATCTCAATCAAAGATCGTGCAGATCTCTCTAATCGCCCCCTGAGTCCTTAGCGTCTCCTTCTCTTCCTTGTGATATTGCAGACAA